TATTTCTAGTTTGAATTCCTTTAACGCTTCCTGGAGTTGCTTCTTTATTTCAGTTACTATTATTTCAGGTATTTCAGGCATATGGCATATATTTTCTTCTATGTACATGACTCCTAGGCTTTCTTGGGATGGGCTGGATGTTTGAGACTGTATTTTGGTCTTTCATTTTGTCATTGTCACATATTTCTGTGTTTCAAGTGTCGTTCCAATGCTATCCCCTGGGCATGATGGAAATTGTCTCCTATGTCCTGGGCTCCTGGGACTCCCCTGGTAGTGTAGCTCCTTCCTTGGGCAGCGAGGCACTCAGATTAAAAGATGTTTACCAGGGGAGGCTCAGGCAGGTGTAAAGCCTCCTCAAGCCCCACAGCTCCCTCCTCAGGCAGCAAAGCTCCCCTGACCACAAGAAGGCCACCAGGCATGGTCCAGGTGGGCCTGAATCCTGCCAAGCCCAATCTAGTGTGACCACAATCTGGGCAGATCCCCAACCACCCAGAGCAAGGATCTCAAACTTGCTGATGTTGTGCAGGCATCCACCTTCTTGGTGGCAAAGCTCCCTGGGCTGAAAGAAAGTCACCTGTGTGGCCTAGACAGGCCCCAACCTTCTCCACAGCACAGCTCCCTCCTCCAGAGGGCACTGGTAGCAGCAGCGCTCCCTGGACCACAATGGCAAGGCCTGAGCAGGCCTCTGCAGGGCAGCTCCCTCCTCCACGCAGGAACTTCTAGACAAGGCTCTTTCTTAGGTTGTCAACCTGACCTACCCTAACAATAATTGCATTTAAACAGCTTACGCCTCGCTTTCCAATGCTGCCCCTGTTTTCTTAGTAGACTTAATGTTCTCTTCCTGAAATGGGGCCTCTCCTGTGTTCAGAAGGTTCCATGGTCAATGTCCTATGGAAGACTCAGTCCTAAAGAAGAAAGAGATAATTCTCCCCTTTTTTCAAATCCATCTTCTTCAAAGATAACAAGGAAGGAAAAGAAGAGGAAGAGAAGGAGGAACCAGAAGAAGGAGGAGGAGGAGGAGGAGGAGGAGGAGGAGGAGAAGGAGAAGAAAGAGAAGAAGGAGGAGGAGGAGAAGAAGAAGAAGAAGAAGAAGAAGAAGAAGAAGAAGAAGAAGAAGAAGAAGAAGAAGAAGAAGAGGAGGAGGAGGAGGAGGAGGAGGAGGAGGAGGAGAAGGAGAAGAAGGAGAAGAAGAAGAAGAAGAAGAAGAAGAAGAAGAAGAAGAAGAAGAGGAGGAGGAGGAGGAGGAGGAGGAGGAGGAGGAGGAGGAGGAGGAATAAGCTATGATAAAATTACAAAGTACATCAATCAGGGGAAGCAATGGTACATTCATTGCACATTGTCATGCCTCAAATCATTTACCAAGAGCACAAGACATCCGCATTCCATTGTCTAAACAATACCAGTAGAAATCTTTCTCTTCAGCCAACTCAGAGAAATCAGTGGTATAACTGTCAACTATTTTATACACATATACATAGACATATACATGTGTTTTTTACTTTCAGCCTCTCACACTAAGGAAACAATACAATGTTATACATGTGCATCTTATTTATTTCACTAATCAATGGGCATTTAGGCTGTTTCCAATATCTGGCTATTATAAAGTGTGCTACTATATGCATTCCCCACCAACAGCAGCTTTTTCCCCAGAGCCCCTCCATCATTTGTTGTTGGTGTTTTTCTTGATACTATCCATTCTATCTGGGCTGAGGTGAAATCTGTGCTGTTTTACTGTTCATCTCTCAAATGATCAGTGATGTTGAACATTTTTCATGTATTTATTTGCTGTTCATAACTCTTCATGTGAAACATATGTATTCATCTCAGATGCCAATTTTAGAATTGGGTCTTTAAATCTGGGAGGACTGGTTTTTTTGAGTTCTTTATATGTTCTCAATAGTGATTCTTTGTCTGAGGAACAGCTGGCAAACATTTTCTCCCACACTGTGTATTGTCTCTTCACTCTGTTGGTGGTTTTTCTTGCTGTGCAAATGCTTTTCAGTAGGGTAAGATCCCTGTTCTTGATTCTTTGTGATAATTGCTCTGCAATCTGAGTTTTATACATGAAGTCTTGGCCTACACCAGTGTCTTCAAGAGGAAAGTACAAAGTGGCAGAAGATCAGAAATGAGACCAGAGACCAAGAAGCAAGCCCTCCTTGTGAACCAGTACCAGGCTGCTTGCAGGCTGCTTGCAGTGGAGGGAAAAGCCAGATCCCAGCCGCTTCCGTGCATGGGCTGGAAAACAAGAAGAGCCAATCCCCTTATTCCATGAGCAACAGCTGATCTAGCAAAACAGGCTGTGATGATAGCTATTGTTATGACATACAATTTGATGCTTGCAGTGTTTTGGTGTTTTACTGACTTTGCAGGTGTAGGGCTAGTGGTCCGATCATCTATTCAGAGGATGGCGATACACAGTGTGGCATCTAGGAGAGATCTCCTTCTGAGGGTGGTAGCCACTGTTAACTCCCTAGTGGTCTTGTTTTGAAGTCCTGTATCAGTTTAATTATTTTGTTGGGTTGGGTTTTGCTCTGTTTTGTTTTGTTTGATTATGTTAAATCTGATGGCAAGATCAGCTGTTTCAAAGATAGCAAGCTATATTATGGTAGCCATTCTGGATCTACTATTGTCTTGTTTTTGAAGTCCTTTATTGCATTCATTGTTTTGTTTTCATTGGTTCTATTCTATTTGATTTTCACTGTGTCTGAAGGTATCTGTAGCTATTTTGAGGAAAGCAAGAGGCATTATGGTAACTATTGTTGATTTCATATCGTTTTGAAGTCTTATGTCACTTACACTGGGTTTTTTTTATTGGTTTTATCCTCTTTAAAATAAAAAAAATGAAGCCAAAGAAAGGAAACTGAGGCAGAACAGGCTCGGCTTTTCCTTTAGAGTGTTGAGGATCAGACCAGTTTTTTTTCAGTAAAATCTGTCCTCCATGTATTAAGAATGGCCATTGATCTTGCAACATGTAAATGTTAGAAGGAGTCCTGTGGTTTATTAATAGTTACATATTAATAGTCACATATCTATGTATATATTTTTTCTTCTTTAGTGTTACGATTGTATTAAAACCTTCAGCAGTCACATATTTTAAGTGAGTCTAAATGTATCATATATAAAACAGAAATGTAAGATCTTATTCACAAGAGCTAAACCTCCCTTTAATAACATTACAAAGTGATTTATTAATAGCACAAATAATGGTGAACAAGAATGACAACTATGATTACCTAATGTATTTCAGCAACTAAGAAAGAAAAGTAAAATCTTACCTCCTGTTAATCATAGAAAAATCAAAAGTATTGTGTTCTATCACCAGTAGCTATTTGGGCTTCAGAAAGGTAGAGTTTGAGATTCCACAGAAGGAAGGCTAGCAAGGGCAAGAGAGAGAGACAGTTCTCTATTGGAATATAGAGAGAAGTATGGGAGAAGAGGAGAAGAAGGAAGGAGAGTTTCCCATTGGAACAGACAGGTAACTGTAGCACTTAGTGTGACAAAAGGAACAATTTTAAAACCTACACTGAATGTTTTCAGTTAAAGTCAAGGCCACAGGGGACATGAATGAGAGGCCAAGTGCAGCTGTCACCATGAACAGTCAATCACCAAGAGAAGCCAGTAACCCCGTGGAGTGCCCAACCATGACTAGCACTAGGTTTATAGCACAGAAGGAGAAGTGAGCCTTTTTCTGTCCCAAGGAATAAAAGAGATCAAATCTGAGAAGTTATTAGTAGTCCAGAAGGGGAGCTAGATTGCAAAGAGGAAGGAGATTTTGGCAGAGAGGGGTTAAGTTTCAGACAGAAAAATCATGGATTCAAAAGCCATAGCTTTGGGAGGCTGAAAACTGCTGCCTGACCGATGAGAAGTGGGAAGGGGGGGCCTAAAGGCTCAGACAGTATTAGAAGCCCAGTATGGGCATGAGCTTACCCAATCTGAAGCATTCAGCGTGGTGGGATCCGGGTGGCTGCTGACTACAGATGGTCTTGGAAGCTGAGTTAGTGAGAAAAAGAGGGAGACTGACCCAATGTGAAATTCTCAGCAAGATCAGACATGGAAGAAGCACCTGGAGCTGTACTGATCGTGGTCTGAGGATGTTGCCAGGTGGTCTCAACTGAGGTGGAGGTTCAAGAGAGCTTAAACCCTTCCAAAGAGAGTTAGTCTCCCTTCCTGGTCTTGGCACCAAAATGTAAGATATAGGTGGACGGGGGAGAAACTAGCAGAGACTCTCAGGCTTGTGTAAAGGCAAAATGGCCTGGAATGCATTGTGCCTGAGCTTAAGCAGAGGGCATGATAAGACTCTGTCATGAACAAAGAGAAATGTGTTGAATTTCTAGGGACGGAGAGAAGGCAGGGGACATTAGGTGGGAAGATCCCAATGCATATCTGTGGTAAAAGTTTTCTGGAAATCTTGCAACTCAGTGGGCTGAATTCCTTGAAATATCTGTTGTAAATTTTTGAGTGTCTCCACATGTCTCCAGGACCGGCAAAATTGTTTGTTTTATCTTACCTCCTTTCCTGAGTTTGTCAATGACAGCCTCAGTGCTGAGCTGAATTCCCTGCAGAGAGTAGTGCTTTTGATGAATGCAGGCCGGGGACTGGGAGAGTCAGGTCAGGTGGAGATTTCCACATTTATGATCTTCCCTTATAATGCGGGACTAATTCTTAAATAGGATACTGACCTTGAAACCTTCTGAACACACAAAAGACCTCATTTAGGAAGAGCACACTGATTCCATCAGAAATCAGGGGCAGCTCAGGAAAGTGAGAAGTAAACTGTTTCAGTGGAATTATTGTTAGGCTAGGTCAGGGTGACATCAGAGATGAGGGCCTTGCCCAGAAGTTTCCGTGTGACAGTCTATCACTCGTGCTCTACCCAGGCGGGCTGATGTTTACTTCCTCCTCATCTCACTCAACAGAGAGAGGATGGTGGAGTAGCAGCCAATGACCGAGGAAGAGGCGGCTGCATGAACTGTCCAATCAGATGCGCCGGGTGGGCGGGCACTTCCGGTGTGCTGACTCCTGTCCACAGTGGTGAGAGACCCTCGACTGACTAGACGTCTTCTGGGAGTTCTGCGGGCTGCAGGCCGCGTGGGAAGGACTCGGGGACACCGGGAAGCCGCGCAATGGTGATGGTGCGGGACGGAAGCCGGGGAAGGGATGGGGTCGGGCTGAGGTCTGACAGGAGGCGGCCGGAACCGGCTCTGGGAGCCGCAGCCTCCCGCCGAGCTCCGGACCCCGAGGTCCTCCGGGCTCTGGGGCTTTTGCCACTGTTCCCTCGGCGGGGTCCGGGTCACCGCCGTGTCCGTGAGTCCGTCCCCACCGTGACACTGCCCGCCCACGGTGCCGTGTCTTGTGGCCCCAGTGTAACGGCAAAGTTCTGACCAGGAACCGAGGGGCGCCCAGGTTGGGAGGATTCTCGAATCAGCTTTATTTGCCCCAGCGAACCCCACTGGCACTGTTCCCAAGGAAGTGGGCCCCGAAAGCTCGGGGAGGGAGGTTTTTTTGGGGTTACAAGAGACGGAAGTACAGAAGCAGAGTGGTTTGTCATTTAGAGATTGGTTTTTCTAATGTACATCATGGTGACCAGCGGATTTTGGAAAACGGGAATTTAATTGTGTAACAAAAGGAAGTACACAGGCGGTTATTAGGGCAACAGAAACTGAAGTATACTAGCAGTTTACGTCGCCAGGAAGCCAGCACCGTTTTATGACCCTGGGGGTTATTTTCAATTGTACCAGTACAGTCTCAGCAGTCTGGGGAAAGCAGATGCTTTAGGAAGACCCCGGTTCAGATTTGGCGTGGAGTTGCGTACTTGTATGATAAATATAGTTATATAAAGCATTTAAATTAAAGAATTCCTATCATAGTGCATCATCAAACTGGAGTCTGTATAATTTCCCTGATATTCAGATAGGAAGCAGGAGATCTTACAGGGCGGGTTGTTTACCAAGCAAGAAGCAGGATATCTTACAGGGCGGGTTGTTTACCAAGCAGGAAGCAGGAGATAAGCGCCATCTTAGCACACTCGATGGGAGGGGTAATCTAGCTCAGGCTTTGCTCTTTCCTACAGGCCTCACGTCTGCCAAGTAAGGCGACCGGGCTCGGCTGCGGCTCCCAACAGTTTTTGAAAATTTCTTTGTTGGTCTTTTTGAGACAGGATCTTGCTATGCAGTTCAGGTTGGTCTTGTGCTCACTTTGTAGCCTGTGGTGGTCTCCAGCTTGCAACAATCCTCCTGCCTCAGCCCACCCACCACCAGTGCTGGGATTGCACACATGTGCCACCACACCTGACATTTCACTTAGGATTCTGTAACAGTTTTTTCCTATTTTCACTGGTAGTCAGCTAAACACTAGTCCCTAAACTAGAGTGTTTTAGATTATTTTTGTAGTTTTTGTGGGTGCTGATCTTGATATCAAGATGTTTAAGTGCTATATTCATGTATAATATGTTCTGAGTGTATATCATGTATCTTCACCGAATTGGGCTTAGATGAAGATCCTACTTGCAATATAATTTTAAGCTTGTATTTATCTGTAAGGCCTGTGGGTGTAACCATAATGTCTGCATCGTGTAGCCTGGTTTCTCTCAGCCCTGAAGTAAGACCCAGTTCCCCTCAGTCTCAGAAATGGCTCTATCTTGGGCCTGAGCCTTTTCTAAATGCTTGTCTATCTGTATCTTAATTATGTGCAATATACACATTCATGTATAATTTTTTGTGTAGATTTATATCTTCAAAAGTCTTGTGTCTATGTCTAAAATAGTAAATATCAAATAATATGGATACAGTTATAGTTAGATGTGGCTTGTTTCATTTAAAATTCATAAGTTCTAGTTCACAGTGGCATAGACCAATTGGTGGGAGCATTATCTAAGTAAATATAGACCTTTGGGTTACCTCAGAGCCAATTAGAAATTGATAATTTTTTTGGAGTCTCTTTGGGCGACTCAAATTGAGAATGAGAGGAGAACACTACCTGCACTCATAGACTTTGTCCCTGTGATGGTGACCTCAGGTCTCTGTCAGCAAGAAAGCCAATAACAGATTCAAATTTCACGTCTAAGCCCAAAACTCTGAGCCAGAGTAAGCCTCTTCATTAATTACTGAACATGAAATATTTTCTTAGAAATAAGAGTGGACTGAGAAAGCACCTGGACTATTCATAGTTGCAGAAACTACCAGGGCATGGTGCAACATGACTGTGCACAGTGTAATTTCAATAACTGAGTTTCCTTCATGTTCTCAGCATCAGTTGTTACTGTGTTTCTGTCTGACTGTAGTCTCCTTCATGGCATTTTATTGTGACAAACATTTGCCTCAGGACTAATGGCATGCATGGTTTTAATAGCTGCTGATATGTAAGTGGTTTAATTCTAAAGAAGTTACAATTTTTGTTGTTTTAAGATGAAGAAACAGACATAAGAAATGATATTACTTAAATGTGGTTTTTTTCCTATTTTTTAAATTTAGAAAAAGAAAAACATGCAAAATAATCTGTCATAAAATCTAAACAAAGCTCATAGTTTTCCACAGCAGATTGATGGAGGAAGCCGGGATTCTCTAAAACGGTGGGAAATGTGATAGTAAACAAAACTGAAACTTGGGTCCCTGTCACTGCACTGACTCAGCACTGCAGCTGTTCTGTTCCTAAAGTTTGAGGGGATACACTGATGTGAGACACTGGAGGAGACAGATCCCTGGTGAGGTCAGCCTGATGCTCTCATGGCTGTGGGAGACAAAGTAAAGCACCTTTTTCCATAATTTACTGAGTCAGAACACTTTTCCTCAGAAAAAGAAACAGAAAGTGCATTAACATTTTGTTAGCAGATGCTTGGAAACCTAGAGTCTCTTGTTTTAATATTAAGAGGAATTCATTAAAAAAATTTAGTTGAGTGCTCCTGAAATGATGTGCAGAGCACTTGCCTAGTGTATGCAAGGATTTGACCTCAATCTCTACCACAAATATTTAGAAAGAAAAGAAATACTGGTGTTGAACTGTTTGGAAACAAAATCAGGATCTAGAATAGATATCCACATTTCCATGTATATTGAAGAATTAGTCTCAAAATGCAGGATGTGAAAACAGCACATGTCCACTTCAGTGGATTGTTCAGTGGAACTTTCAGTATATAATAGCTGGCACACTTTAAAATGAGAGTGAACTGTGGCTCAATTTTGGAGGTTGCAATTCTTGGTCAACCTGCTTGTTGCAAGGCAGAAATATTGTTACAGAGGACTGTGCTGAGGAACTCTAGTGAGCCTCATTTCAGCCAGGGAGGAGAGAAGAGAAGAGAAGAGAAGAGAAGAAAGGAGAGAGAGAGAGAGAGAATGGAATGCATCATTCTAGCACGTACTCCCATTGACCTTGTTCCTCTGTAACATCAATAAATTAAATTCCTGAAGCAGTCAAAATTTGCTATAATGCAGAACCTTGAAATGACCCATCACCTGGTAACATAGTCTACAACCCATGCATTTAGAGAATCATTTACTTGAATTTAGACATTTAGTAACATAGCATGTGAATTAATAATGTGGTTTATTATACAAGAAAATATTATTTATTCTGATAAAGGATACCCTGCATTTCATTACAACATGTATTAACCTGGAAATCATTAAGTAACATATTTAGAAGAGACTGTACCTCTCTCTAGAAATTGTGCCTTCTTTACCTTTTTTTTTTTCACTTATAGCAAGCCTATGAGCTGCTGATTCACTGTCTGCTCTAAAATTTGCATACTCTGCCCACTTTGTGTAAGTGAATATTTGAGCTGGGTGTGGTGGCATATACCCGACTGCTGTCATTTTGTATTTTTCAATCTAATTGCAAAGATTTTCTCTCTTTCTCTTGTGAAATTTTCCTTAGGTATTACGTATTTTTCTCCTAAAGAGTTGGCTGATTCATTGACTCTTTGTACTGTTTTCTTATTGCAACTCATTGAAGCTGTTTGTTCTTTGACTTTGAAATATTTCAGTACAAGCTCTTCTGGCCTTAAAATTTCATGTTAAAGTCAGAAGTAATTCTTTGAGTTTGTCTTTGTATGTGATTTCTTTTTTCTGTGACTCCTTTAAAAAATGTTTTGGTTGGATATTTGGGGATTGACAAAGGACATATCTTGCTGAGCATGTTTTCATCATAGTTGCTTTGTGTTCAAGAAACCTCTCTTGATTGCATTTTGAATTATTTTCTCTTATTTGGGAAATAATCTGGGACAATTTCTGTAAGTATACTAATAATTTCTTTTGTGTTATCTCATAGCTTTTTACTACCTCCATTTAGCTTTGATTGGTCTTTTCAGTGTTGTCTAGTAGCTACTTGATTATATTTTCTTGTTCTTTTATTTTTTTAGTGACTTCCTTGAAGACTTTTTCTTTTTCTTTTTCTTTTTTTAAAATTTATTTAAAGGGGGGCTGGGGATTTAGCTCAGCGGCATAAGCGCCTGCCTTGCAAGCAGGCAGTCGCGAGTTCGATCCCCGGTACCGATAAAAAAGAAAAAGACAAAAAAAAATTTATTTAAAGAAAGACTAAACAAAACAAGAAAATGGGTAGAAATAATACATACGTTCAGAGAAAAAAATAAACAGTAAGAAATCACTAGTTGATGTTTACATACTGTCCTTTTACAAATAGTTGTTCAAAATACAAAAGTGGAACATATAAAGTGGGAATTCAAACAGTGAGACTGCAAACAGTTCTCTTCAACTATCCAACAAAAACTTAGTAATATAGTTGTCAGTCCTATACACTTAAACATACATGCAGTTATCCATTCTTCATTTATGTTGGGATTAAAAATTAAAGCAGGCTAAAGTCATTCTGAACAAAGAATAATAGCGTTGCTGGATTTCACATCATGACACTCCAGGATCAGCACTGGGTACGGTAGTGCCTTTTTAAAAAAACTTTATTTAAAGAAAGACTAAACGAAACAGAAAATGGGTAGAAATAATAATACATACTTTCAAAGAAAAAAATAAACAGTAAGAAATCACTAGTTGATGTTTACATACTGTCCTTTTACAAATAGTTATTCAAGATACTAAAGTGGAGCATATAAAGTGGGGATTCAAACAGTGAGACTGCAGCCAGTTCTGTTCAACTATCCAACACAAGCTTAGAAATATGGTTA